AACAGAGTACGAGTGTTACGGAAATGAGAATGCTTAGATGGATGAGTAGAATGACAAGAGAAGATAAAATAAGGAACGAATATGTATGAGTAAGTATTGGTGTCAAGGCCGAGGTAAGGGGGGTCTAGCCGGGCCTATAGTCCCGGGGCCCAAACAATTTTAAGCCGATACACATTTTTTATCATACTAAAATGAGTAGTTAATAGACATAAATTTTTTATATCTATTATATTATATTATTTATATATCTATTAACCTATTAATTTTATAATGCAATTGACAATTTGTGAAATAGTTAAAAAAATGTATCGTTCTGCGAGCATAACGAGCGGCTTTATAAAGCATGTTTTGTCAAAATAGCCCATATAAAATTTCAGTCCCGGAGCCCAATAGATGCTTAATCCGGCCTTGATTGGTGTAGCGTCGATAGTCAACAAGACGAAAGAAAATAGATTGAGATGGAGTATAATGAGGCAAGAAGAAACAAAATGAGTAAGAGCGGTTATGAAAATGAACATTGAAGGGAAAAGAGAAAGAGAAAAACCAAAAAAGAGATGGTTGGATACGATTGAGAATTATTTGAGGGCTATTGATGTGTGCGTAGGGGATGTAGAAAATCGAGACAAAAAAGACGAGGGAGTAGAAAAATGAATGTACAGTAAATACGCCAGAGGGACATATCCCTTTTTTACCCCCTCTCAATAGACATCCTTGCATTCATAAGTAATATTTGAGTATGATTCTTGCTTCGTCCCTCTTAACGTAAGTTCACCAAGTGATGGGTAATGACTTGGGCTCGGAAGTTCTAGTAAATGCATATTTTTCTTGGTTCATTCTAGAACATCCAAAGTAAGATACAATTATGTTTCTCATTGCTCGGTTATCATACACAAAATATTAATTTTGCTAATTTAGGGTTTATAGTTCTATTTTCGAGTACATTTTCACATAATATTGGAAATAATCATATTTAGTTGATAATAATTGTATTTACTTGGTTATTTTTTAAAAATATTTGAATTATTGGAAATAAATAGACCTCATATTATTTTATGTTTTCATCGACAATTTAATGTATTAATAGTTAGTGACGTCATTGTTCCCATATTATATCATTGTATTAAATTATCAAACATTTTAATAATCCAGGATAATTTTCAAAGTAAATATGTGAAATAATTTAATAATAAGTACATTTTTATAAATATATTTAAGTAATTTAACATTTTCGTTAACAGTTTATTATTCAACTAGTCCAGACTATGTATATGAGCCCAAAAATTTTTTAAAATTACATTTTTTTTTTATAAATTTATAATTTTTGCATATTTTTTCATTTTTCGTTTTATTTATAGCGCATATTTTAAAGTTTTTAAGTGCATATTAAAGAGCTAAAAAGTTAAAAAGTAACATTTTTAGTGATACAACTTCTGAGCTCTGGTTATGACCTTAGAAAAAAATTTTCGTTTTGGCCAATTGGTTTTAGCATTCAATCCGAAGCTGATTATTAATACGATAACATTTTATGCATAACTGTATAGTAGTTGCCGATGCTTTAAACCTTAAAATGTACGTTGTGGTTGTTTATATATATGAGCAGTGGCGACGCGATGCAGATTTTTTTAAAAAATATTGATGAATATGCACATATATGTATACCCGAAAATTAAATGTATGCAAATAATAAACAAAAATATTATTACAAAAGATTACATCATATAAATGATTACAATTTACCATTGTTAACAAATTAAGTAATTATTAATCAATTATTTAAATTCAGAATTAACAACAAGAAATCATTTTTTTGAAATAAATACCAACACGAAGTTATAAAATATGATTTTAGATTTTTAAAAAGAAAGCTTTTACAGTTGTTGCGTAGCATAAATTTATACATAAAAAAAACTTTCTACATCACAAGTTATTATTAGCACATATTTAAAACAATATATGTCTTTAAACAGGGCCGTAGCAAGGGGGTGGCGAAAGATGCCTATGTCCCGGGCATAATTCCTGGGAGAGCGCAAAAATGAAAATCTTGTGTTTAATTTTAAAAATTACAACGGTCAATGTCGTATATTTTGTTTACAAAATCTTTAACATCCTTCATATTAATTAAAGCATTTATTGAAAATAATATCTAATAAACATAATATTTTTAAATTAAAAAATATATAAGGGTGTATTTTGAAGTTTCGTCCCGGGTACAATGTTTTGTTGCTACGGCACTATCTTTAGGTAAAAACTCCAAAATTCCTTATTTTTCGTTACTTATTTTTCCATATATTACGCCAAAAATGTTTTAATATTAGAATACCCTGGATTTTTAGACAATACTTGCGATAATTTAAGTTTAGCAAATGCTATGCCTATTCTGTCTTTTTTCAAATAGATGAAGTATTTAATGCTAAACAGAAATATTACGGATAAAAAATTACACCACTGTCACTAACTAATGATAGGAAAATACAGTCGTCGCCCATTTGTTGTAATATTTTCGGCCTGGTGTTTGTTATAGAAACAATTTTTTAACAAACATATTTTATTGCTCTTTGTAACAATTCCGGTTACAAGTTGTAGCTGTGAAAGAGCCTTTTCAAAATTAAGTTTGGTCAAAAATAAATTAAGGAGTCAGATGTCACAAGAACGTCTTGAGTGTTTATTATTGATATTTGTAGAGCAAGAAATGGCTATAAATTTAAATTTTGAAGATATCATTGAAGAATTTAAATCTTTAACTCCAGCCATACGTCGTCTTGAACTTTAATTTTCATATAGATATTAAGTGAAAATGTATATTCCTCATAAATATTATATTATAAGTAAATAAATAATTAATAAATGTTTGGTTATTTTGTATTTTTTTTTAAGGTAAATGGTTATGATTATACAATTAATAAAAAAAAATTATTTTAAATTAAACCATGCCAAATATTTATAATATTTTGTATAAGAAAACATTTTAGATGATGGCAAAAATATTAGTGGTAAATAGTAAAATAGGAATGCACCACCTACGAGTATTGTCTGCGCACGTCTATGTCGTATGCTATTATATGAACATAGGGCTGTCAGTAGGCCCCGGTAACGAAAATTAGTCGTTGAAATAACTTTAACAAGAGTAAAACTATAGATAATATAATGGATGCATATTTTATAGATCGTTAAAAATAAAAATATAAACATTTCAAAAATTAATTTTATGTATCAGTACACAATTAAAATTTTTTTATTTATTATTTATAAAATATGCATTTGTATGAAATTATACAGAAATATGCAATTCATTGTCATTTTTACTCCAATATGTAAAATATTCAAAAACAAAAATAATCTATAAGAGTCTATACAATGCAAAACTTTGGTATTTGTTATCAAAATTATTTTAGGTGAATTGTAGAAAAACATGAATTTGCATAAAAATTCGGACTCTATTCGTGACTAAAATGAGGTAGGTAGGAACGTATTTTAAGAGGGCGAGGGAGTACCAGGTTAGGTTAGGGAGTAACCTAACCAGGAAGTAACCTAATCCGAGCGGCCTACCGAGCGGTTTTGTAACCATAATCCATCATCCATTTTCATTCGTCAATCAAAATATTTTAATATTTTAAGATTTTGCAGAGCGACCACGCTGCGATATTTATTTTCATGATAATATTATTAAAAGTTAATCGCGTAAAATCTATAGTTAATAAATATTATCTCTTGAAAAATCGTATAAAACGTGTGTTGGGTGGCAATAAAACTTTACTTGGGGCGTCAAAACACCAAATACATCTCTGTAGGTAGGTAGGTTAGAATGTTTTTGTAGTGTTGCATGACAGAAAATGTTAATACATAATTTGCACTTTTGATATAAAATATAATTGTTTTATTTTTTTTGAACCCGTTAATTTAAATATTTACTCTAGATCTAGAACTTTGACTTGGGACGGGTACTTGACACACGTAATGCTTCATTAGAAAATAAACTTCACGCCGCCACTGTATACGATGATATAAATTTCTGAAAGAGGAAAACAAGACCACAAGTTTCATGATTGTTCGTTCAAGAAGAAAATTTAAATGTCGACTATTTGATTTCAGTATGTAGTTCATGTTTTATTTGTCTATATAGGCAAAGATGTTTACATAAAATTATATTATCTACAAACCTACGATTATACGAGTGCACAAAAAATAAATAGTCATATGGTACAAAACAATTTACACGTATACATATAATGTATAATATAAATAACAACATGTCCGTTTAAACTACAGCAGTATGGTATGGGTACCATCATTTATAAAAGGTAAACCGGGTTCATCGTCACTAAAGGGTTCCCGAGCGGATTCAGCATTTAAGAAAATTAAAAGAAAGTACTAAAACAAAACAAAAAGGAGTAAAAACCGAGGTGTGTGATTCGCTCGACACTAAACGAAATAACGTGATGACGATAAATCGGTATCGGTGCATTGGATGATATGGATGTACATAATGTATACGATCATGAAAATATATTTCTATAAAAACTGGTACCTAAAAACCGTGTCTCCCGCGAGGTGTACGAGAAAGCTTCGTCGATTGATTACGCACGAAGTACAAAAATCTATACAGTATATACAAAAGTGAATAGGTAGACGGAAAAAAACAATAATTTTTGGCATTAAAATTCATAAAGTTCCTTTCGGGGAATGATAAGACGCGGGGCGCCGGAATGCGCCGGAACACGAGGGTTTTAACAATGTACAATTATTGCACACGTACTGTAATTGTACATCCGTATCGTGTCGGGTGTTGCAAACGAAAAATAAAAAAACGGTTAAACCACGCGTCCCCCTCCCAATTACCACATGCGCACGGTACGACAATAATATTAATAATAATACAGTGATAATGAATGCAATAACATAATAATATATTGCAGTACGCATATGTTATGGGTGTTATGGTTAAAACGATAAAGTATTCATGCGGTTCAGTGCGTGTCCATCCAACCGGCCGGTATCACGTAGTCGGATATGGCGTACAGCATCCGCGGGTACCAGTGTATGCCGTCGGCTGGTTGGTCGGGGTAAGCGGTGGCAGCGGCGACCGCGGACGCCGGTGACGAATCGCGTAGCGGATGGCCCAGCCGCCAGACCAGGCCGTACAGGGACGTGCGGGCGGCGTCCAGGGCACGGGTCGGCAGGAACGCCAGGTGCGCCAGCCACTGGCTGTCGATCACGGCGTAACAGGACGCGATCACGTCGTCCACGACCACGGTGCCGTCGACCGTGAGCGGCGCGTACAAGCCGAACTGCTCGGTGCGCTGGATTCGGACCACGCGCTCCGTGCGCAGCCGAAGCGCGTCCCCGGCGCCGTCCACCGTCAGCAGCGTGTCGTTGACGCGCACCCGTTTCGCGAAAACCGGGTTGGCGTGCCGGATCTGCGACCGGTCCGACCTCTCCCACCGGAGCACCAGGTGCGTGGGCGTTGCCGTGATCGACTTGCCCGTGTCTGTCACCAGCGTCACGTACTCGGTGCGCGCCTTCTCGCTCCGGTCTAGGAACAGCAACACCTTGCTGGGTACGAGTAGCCCGTCGTCGGACAACGCCAGCACCGATTCGCCGACCCGCAGGTCCTTCATCAGCTTCTTCTCGCCCCCGCTCGTGGTCACCACACTGTCGCCCGGGAAACAACCCATGGTCCTCGTGTTGATTTTCGTCTCTGAAAAAACAAAAAGAAATCGAAAACGTTTAAATTAGAATTTTCCATAACCTACACGCATATTATTGTAATGTATGCTACGAAAATGGCTGATATCGTTTTAAAGTCATATATAAATAAATGCACGCTATAATTTCTCTTGGGGTAAATTTCGTTTATATATAGGCAATAGGCACGCTGAGAATAGCTATTCGTAGCCCATCAGTGGGATAATTGAGACCGATGGGAATCGATATTAAAAAAAGTTACAAAAAAAACTTAGAACTTATGATTCAGCAAGATTACCTATTGCTGATTATTATTTTAAATAAATATTGTTTTTTTAGTGTTTAATGTATGATTTATAGTTATTTTTTGTATCTTAATATTAGACCTTAATATTTTTAATAAGTTTTCAAAGATGATATTGTGTAAATTAGAAAAAAAATAAGTTCCCGTATTATGTGCTATACATGTTTGAACTACCAGAGCACTACTGTAGTTTTTTGGGGGAGGGAGAGGAATGAAAATAAATATAGCCCCTACCTTTGTGAGTTTTTATTCGTTCATCACAATATGATGCGAGTGCTTAACCTATAACGTCCGATTACAAGATGAGTGTAAACGGGTGTGTTGTGGTGCGGTATTTTGGCCACTTGTGAAACATATAATTCAATATAGGTACGCGATACACTAATAGCTCGATTGCTCGGTAAATTAGCAATTCAAACCAGTGAAAAAATAACCATACACACATAGTTCGCCGACACCCGCTGTTCGCTCAATGCAGTATATTAATCGCTATACTCATACATATATGAATACGTTTTGTATTATAATGTGTTGTTTACGGGGACGACTCGCTAGGAGAGATCGTAGCCGTTGATTTGTCTGGTTTTTAAACGCCATTAAAAAATAAAAAAAATAAAAACTAATAATAATAAAATTAACGATTCGGCGTGGTGGTGGTGGTGGTGATTGTGCTCTGTTTGTTTTTTTTTCTTTAATATCATCTTCGTTTCTCAACGCCGCCGTCGTGCGACCACGATAAATTAGTTAATGAGATAAAAAGGGCAATAATTCTTGTCTTTCTGTTCGCAGCGCGCACTCACAATATTGTTTAATGTATTATATCTAGTATCTACATACAACAACGACCACGCAGTGTCCACCGTCCAGGCGCGCGCGGTCTCCGTCGCCGCGGTGGCGGCGGACGACCATCACACTGCACCGCGTGCGTATCCGTGATCTAATCGCTGTTGGGACGCGGCCGCCGCTACGGGTGAAGAAGTATCTACTACCCATACAATACTATTATTACTAATAATAATAAAAAAAGAAAAATAATAGTAATAATATTCGAGTCCTCCGGAAAACCGGATTGCTGCCACCATCGGTCGAATTTCGGGGACATCGACGGAATCACAACATTAAATGCGTGTTATTCTATTATTATATCGTACAGGTATTCTTATGATCGTCCTACTGCGCGGCGGATAGTTCACGGCGGGCCAACACCGGAGTCATAAACATAAAACGGACACTAGATGCCCGTGACACACGGGGGCACGCATCACCGGATCGCGCGCGCTCGTGTTTAACTACGATATAAATACAACACCGATGAGAGGAGAGACATTTAAGTTTTATTTTTTATGCGTTTCCTCTTGTCGTCCACGTCCCGTCGTTCACCTATAACTACCATCCGTGTGTGTTTACGTGCACATATATACTACACTGCTCTTAAACAGGATGAAACTTTAATGATGTGGCTGTACGTACATATATCTGGGAAAATATGAGAAATACATTATGCAGTGTTTCATTCTTCTGAGATATTTTTCACGGGATATATACATAAAGGGGTGATTGACGAAGTATATTGTATTATTAATTACGAAAAATATTAGTTTATTCGATTGTATACCAAATAATCCTATGTGTGTCTTAGTTTCCAATAGTTAACACGAGTACGGATTACTTATATTTCTTAAGCCATACAAATCGATTCAAGTTAAAATATAACTCCTCTGTATAGCAAATATCCATGTTCACTGCAGAACGCTATTTCCAACGATCATCCGATCATCATTTTCATATGTATAATTTTCAATGTAACAACTAAGAATTAGCCGATGTTTTGAATCTTTCTCTGTATCCGATGTAAAAATATCGATAGGTCATCGGATTATTATTACATTATAAACCATAATATTTTTTATACAGAGATAACCATTTATAACAACATCGACTACTACCATACAGCTATTGATTAAAAAATATTCTATAACCGTTGGTAAAACCGACATCCGTAGGCTTAGTAAAAAAATGTTACTGCGGTTTTGATACTCAAAGGATTAACACATTTATACTGATCCCTTTAATGTCACCATTAACATTTCTACTGAAATAAATAAGTTTACATTTCCATTTGAAATGATCTTTAAAAATAATGACGGATTAGCATATTCCTCGAACGCGTATACTGTTCATTCAACTTGGCAGACCCTTACACTATTCCATTCTGTACAATATTTGATGTAATACTAATGTTATACCAAATTCGCGTTTGAACACTTTGGGTGAACGTGTAACGTACTTGATATTAACTCGAAGTTACAGTAGAAAAAAGTAATAAAAAATCAACTCATTATTATCTAAATAGCTGCGATAAGAGTAAGACCTGAACGCATATTACCGTTTCTGAGGAATGGATTTCATTTACGATTACGAGTACATGGTAACGACCAACGTGTACCATAGACGCGTGAGTGAAAATACCAATGGTTTCACATGCATAATTTTCATCGATTGTATCGTTGAGTGTGCTCCGGGCAAAGAATATAGCGTTACTTCACAAACATTCGAACGTTTCATTTGGGCACGTACTACTGCGTTATTAGTTTATTACGTCCATTGCTATACACATTTGTAGGTTCTTTTAAGGTTGCACGGTCCAGGTGCGTTCATATTGTATTATTCATCCGTTAACTTCAAGTAGAAAATCTCGAATTCCATAAATCAACGTTATTTTTCTCTTTTGTTAATACGTGTCTGCAGACGATTTCAGTATATTATTGCATTCAGTAATTATATAATATGAATATCAAGTGATAAATAGTGTTTACTTGGTTTTATTGCTATTTTAATTGTAAGGATAAAACGGTTTTTATTCATTTAGAGATACGTATCAAGTACATATATTAAACAAAAAAGCGTAGGTACTTTATTGTAACAGCTATTTGATTACACTGTAAAGCCGAAGAAATTATGTGTAAAATCCAATAAACAGTTACCTACTATATTTATCTTGAATAATGAATATCATTAATAAAATCTGTCGGAAATGCTGAACTTGATATGAATAACTAAAATTAGTAATAATTTTTATTTGTTTTTATTTTTCCAAAATTCAAATTTTGTCGAAGAATATACTTAACAGATAAAACAATAAATTAACGACACCGGCGATGGCATGCAGCAGCGCAGCGGAAACACGCGTATAATATTACCTAATTGTATATAATATAATATACAGCGGTGCAGTAATAGTCATTATGACGGAAAAAATCCAATTTAAATATTTCGTTTAGAATTCTCGGCGAGCTTATGTATTTATTTTTTCTGTAAAATTCAAAATAGTGTAAATATTTATCTTTTATACGTGGTTTTGAAAATATGTGGAACATTCAATAATAATAATAATAATAATAATAATAATAATAATAATAATAATAATAATAATAATAACGATAATAATGATGTATAAAAGGAATTCACAGTGCGGAATTTTGAATTGGAATTAGATTTGACGATTATGTGCCGGTGCATGTTGTCTGCATAGCGTGGTTGTGGAAGTCCACGAGAAAGAATATACGTCCCCGATTGTTATGTTATGTATTATACAGGGACATTCAAATTCAGCATTACGTTTGTAATGCTAAATTTGAGTGACCCGGCACAGAGGTAAATAGAGGGATTTTTGGATCTCGCATGACAGCTAAAATATTATATTTCTCTTTGAACAATTTTTTTAATATCATAAATGTTAAATCCTAACGAATTTCTTCACGATTGTTTTTTCTATTAATCTTTAATGAAAAATTAAAACGAATATTATGTGTATGCACGTACGTAGGTCCATGTTAGGCGTTTTACATGAACTGCTGCAGTCACATATTTTGAAAAATCCTATACGTATATATATATATATTAGGCCTCACCTAGACCCTGATGTGTACACACCATAAGTATATGTGTATAACATTATGTATACGAAATTGCATTGTATAATGCGAACTACGCGAAGTAGTAGTTATAATAGTCGTGTATGTGCGATCCGTGGTCGTTATACACGGGTGAGACGACGCGAACATACGTACGCGGTGGATAGGCTAACCTCATGGCTCCTATGCGTACCGGGCGCGCGCGAGGAGCCCGTACAATATTATAATAAGCGTGATAGCGCTTGTTATTATTATTATTATTATTACGCGCGTACCTCATAAACTTGTGGCAGATCGTGCACTGGCCACGGTGCTGTGATATGCTTGCGCCGTGTGTACATGCGTTGTGTATACGACGAAAAGGTTAATCGTATGCACCGCCGCCGTGTATACCTATATACGGTTGGTTTAACGAGTTGTGGGATTCTAGTTTTGGACAGGTCACGATCGCCTCTTATTTGATGTTTGGAAACAAATAATGGATAAAAAAAATAAAAAAAAAAAACATAGAGAGAAAGAATACAAATTATGCACCATCATCCCTTGTACGAGTTTGTTCGAATTTGCTTTACACTCACCGCACGAGTCGTGTTTACACAAACGTATACCGCGCTTCCAACTCGCGTCGTCGTCTTCGGTCGTCGTCGTCGTCGTCGTCGTGTATTTATAATGTGTACGTATACGTTTATATATACACAGCTATATATGCTCACGAACACACGCGGGGTTTGTATACATATACACGTGTGTATTATTTGTTCTCCGGTAAAAAGAAAAGAAAGAGAAAAAAGTGAT